CATTTAATCCATTTAATCTATTTAATCCATTTAATCCATTTAATCTATTTAATCCATTTAATCCATTTAATCTATTTAATCCATTTAATCCATTTAAAGTGAATTCAGTCCTGTTGTCATACAGTGGAGTCACATAAAGTACAGAAGCAGGTTTAAATGAGTAAAGGTTCACTAAAGAAGCAGTAGACTGTGTTAGTGTGTGAGCAGCTTGTTGGCACCAGTGGAACCAGTCCTCTCTAACAGGAGGAACCAAACAGAACCAGGATGAGGGGTCCTCTGTGTAAACTGGTTTTGGATGCCCACATGATAAAAGTTATAGGAGCGATAAACACATGGATCAGTTTCTCTGCAGTATTCTTGGACACAACGTTTCTTAAAAGTGATCCTACAGTACATACAGCAGGTGGAAGAGAGCGGTGACATTTTTAATGAGGAGGTTTAAGAAGAAGTCCCAGTTAAAGTCCCACCAGTTCCACCATGGTCCTTCAGATGGAAACACTACAGGCCATGTTAAGTCATCCTGAGGCAGTGAAAGCTGCAAACTTCTCAACATAAAACATGGCCTCCATCTTTCCTGACCTTAAAAGCAGAAAAGTTAAACATATAAACTTTTCAGAAGCTGTAAGTGTGTGAGGTGTTGGTAAAGTTAGTTTTTGTCAGGCCTGTTGGGACCACGGTGTAGATTATGGTGACAGCTTGGTTCGTGGAGGGTTTCTGGTCACTGCTGGAAGATGTGCCAGACTGTGGTGGGCAGGTGCCACTTCATTTCCTGAGAAGGAAATGTTGCAAGAGACGTGCAGGACAGTGAGACACATCATTTCAGGCTGGTAAATGACTCATTTCAACACACCAGTCATGTCTTTTTCCCTGAACAAGAAAAAAAAGATGAATATTCAGTGTTTTCATTCAGACTGACTGTAGCAGTGCTTCTAATGCACAGAGACATTATTTACAAGTTATCATTCAGCATGTTCTCCTTCCTTTAGTCTGATGGAAGGTAGCTGCTGCAAGATCAATGTACTTCTTAAAAAACAGTCCTGGGACCAAAAACATGCACCCAGGAGCATATTTACTGTAAGTAAATGTATTTTAATGTATATTAATGACAAGTTTTATACTTCAGTCTTTTTGTGATGTCACAAGCTGTACGACAACCCACCAGAACCTGCATTCAGCCCCTTACCTAACAACCCCCGGGTGAGACTCCACCTCCTCAGTATAAACAGACGTCACCGTGTTGTTGTGTAATGTGTAGCTGATTTCACAACAAGCCTCCAACAGGGCAATGGGTAGAGTGTTGGACCAGAGAGAGACCAGGGTTTGAGACCAGCACGGATACAATTTAATTATTTATTTATTTTCGTTCGTAATGAACACGTTTTCTCATGTAGCTCTATAGTTTATCTTATTAAAGCCTTGTTAAAGCCTRTTTGTTCTAGTTTCTGAGGTATTTTGACCACTGCTGCTCCCTGCTCTGTTAACAGAGAGCAGAGAAGAGGAGGGGGAGAAAAAAAAGAAGCTGGGACCACGACTCTGCCTCTGGGTCTGACTCAGGGTCTCATATGGT